AGGATTTAAGGAAATTGTTTTGGGTGGAAAAAATCTAGAAATATTGAAAGGTTCAATGTATGGATTAGTATATAATTAAAATTGATGGCAGGGGATGGCTTGGGGACATGGTAATATATATGTATTTCATATCGTATTCATTGGATTGATTTTTTTTGTGATTGAACTGGATTTCAGTTAAGTTACAATGTTATGAACTCTTGCATTGCATTGTATCCATAAGGTGTTGGATTAAGTGTTGGATTGTGTAATTGGGTGTGTATAAATATAGAAAGTGTTATGTGTGTTGTGGTGCCTAAATGCCCTTCCTTGCTCTGAGGTCGGAGAATGTACAGATGTCCTTGGTATATAGTTAAGGTGCCCAATTGCCATTCTTTGCTTAGCACTGATAATGTGGCGGATACGATTAAATAAATGTGCTAGGTGTCCAATTGCCCTTCTGTGCTCGGTGGCTGGTATATATAGAGGTATTTGTTTTAAAAATGTAACAGGTGTCCAATTGCCCCTCCGTGCTTGATGGCCAGTAAATGTGGAGATGTTTTCGGAAATGTAAAAAGGTGCCCAATTGTCCTTCCGTGCTTGGTGGCTGGTAAATGTGGGTGTATTACATGATGCGTTTTGGGATTTTATAAAAAGGAGAAAAAGATGTTCTCAAGGAGAATTAAGGTCCAAGTGTTGAGTTAGTCATGGGTTTAAAGTTTACATCGAGTATTGAATGTTAACAAAGTTATAAGACTTGTATATTATGAGGTGTTGCATGAATATAACCAACATGAGCATTTTATTTATTTATTTATAATGTGTTGAGTTTATTTACTATTGGGCGTCATTGCTCATTCCCGTTGTATGGGCTGTATATTCCTAAATTCTAGGTGATCAAGGTGTGACTCGTTCGTTGAGAAGTATATGGAATTCTAGATGGAGCACTAAAACTCTTTTGATGTTTTATGTTTCAACCATGAGCTTACCTACGGAGATAAAATTTTATTTTCTTTGTGATCAAGGGCCTTAACCTTGAAATGTGTATGCCTTTAGGGCGATTTGATATATATATATATATATATATTATAGTTTCTTGCACTGTAATTTGTTGTAATGTATGAGATGACTGATTTTCAAGAAATAGATGGGTTTTTTATTTATAATTTGTTATCCTTATTTACTCAAAAATTTATTAAGGTTATGGAATTGAATGATAATAATGGATTGGAAACTAATAAAATGCTATTAATTTTCTGGGCATTACAGCCATCATACAATTAAAAATATTTACTCTCTAGCCTTTCACACCCTGCAACTCTACAAACATAGCTTTATTATACTTATCAACATGAATGTCATGATGCCTAGCCACTCTATTGGACCTTACTGTAATCTCAAAGGGTAATACTGCAGCATGTCTATAAACTAACTCGTAAAAACAAGCCTGAGTGCTATCTCTCTTAGAATTGTTATATTCCTACATTACTTTAGCTAACAACTCATGCCAATTCCTTGGATTATCCTCTATCACCTTGCTCAATGTGGCCTTAATTGTCTTATTTGATGACTCTGCTTACCCATTTGCCTGGGCATAATATGGAGATGAATTGAGTAGTTGAATGCCATACACTCTAGCAAACTCCTTAACTTCAACACCATTAAACACTATCCCTTGATCGACAGTAATTTTTTACGGCAAACCAAATCTATGCACTATGTGTTTCTTAATAAAATCAATCATCTGAGATTAATTCCCTACCTTTAATGGGACTACTTTCATCCACTTAGTAAAGTAATCAATTGCGACTAATACAAATGAATGTTGTTTTGATGAAAGAGAAAACACTTGGCCAATCAAATCCATTGCCCATCCTCTAAATGGCCAAGGCTTAGTGTCTTATGATTAATTGCTAAACACGATTAAAGATGCCTAAAAAGTAATTAAGATGAAATTCTGAATTAATTGCATGTGTGTTTCATTATTTGTATTTATTTCTGTCTATCGTAGGAATATTTGTTCATGTTTTTGTTTTGTTCTGTGAATTGAAAGCCTTATCGACATCCGAACATGAAATTAACTTGATTTATGTGTTATTTGGGATTTTCAGAATTTTATGGTAGGTTTAATTGAAATTCAATTCAAAACGAATAAATTAGAATAAATTGATCCCACTTTGTTATCTTTAACTCCAATTAATTAAGCTCATTAACTAAGCCTATATAAGGCTAGCATGTGCTTCAACTCATCTCTTTTCACATCTTTGAGCCTATTCAACAAAACAAAACGTGAGAGAGGGAGAGAAAGGAGAAGACTTGAGCTCAAGCTAAGGGGTTTGTTAGGAAGTAAAGGAATTGGACTTAGAGACTCAAGAATTAAGCCTCTAGCTCTCACTTTGGAAAGCCTAGGTAAGAATTCAACCCTTAGATTGCACAATTATGATGTCTAGGCCACGAATTCAAGAGACTTTAGTTGTATAATACAAGAATTGAGCTTGAATTGTTGTATTTGAGTCATATCATGCATGCATGCATAATTCTCGTGATTTTGAAGTTGAATTCAAAGAATTTCCTCGTGCATGTCCTCATTTTGGCCTTGTTCTAAGAATTCAACATGTTTTTGAGTAAAACACCTCATTTGATCATGTTTTGAAAACTTTGAACTTGCATCTTTACATGCATGATATGTAATGATATGTTTTCATAATTTCAATTTTGAGTTTTGATCAATTGACAAAGCTTTTGGGCTTAATTTTGTGAAATGAAGTTAAAGTCACCATGTTTTATCAGTTTACAAGTGCTTCCTCAAGTTTTTGGCCCAAAAGACCATAATTTGCAACTTTGAATTTGAGTTTTGAACTTGGAAGAGCAATCTGGAAATTTCAGATTCTGTCTCTCTGCTCGAGTGACAAAACCTGCACTCGAGCGGCCACTTTGTGTTTTGGACTCTCGTTTAAGCGACCAGAAGTTGGCTCGAGTGTAAAATGCATGCTCCTAGAAGTATACAATTTTTGTAGATCGCTCGAGTGACAAGTGTTGCGCTCGAGCGAAGATCTCAGTCTCAAGCTTGAGTGACCGTTGAGCGTACGTCGAGCAAAAAAATCAAGCAACCAATACTTTTGTAGAGTTTATAGACCACTCGAGCGGCTGAAATTGCGCTCGAGCGACCACTCACATTTTTTAGCCTCCGCTCGAGCGAAGGAAGTTGCGCTCGAGCGAAAGCCCTATTTTCAGCAAATTTTGTTAAGTGTTTCAAAGTGCATTTTGGCATCCATATTGCATCCTAGTCATTCCTAGGCCATGGCTAAGACATAATAATGAGAATAAGAAGTAGAAACACATCAAGATAAGAAAGAACTAAGTTAATGATTCCAGGTGTGTAATTTAATACGTATTCATTTTGTGTCGGTGTAGGTCACGAGTCGTAAGTTATCTGATTTGTCTGCTTTGAAGCCATCTGTGAGTAATAACTTTGTAAAGTTATGTTTACGTTTAAGTAATTTCTTATATGATATGACATGACCAGAAATGCTCTATTTTCTGACCTGGTATGTTCTGAATCAATGAATGATTGTCCATATATTGAAAAGTATTTGCGGCATCCTTAGCACAAGGCCCTGGCCCTGGGGTAACAATACCGTGGTCTATGAGCACAAGGCCCTTGCCCGGGGACAATAATACCGTGGTCTCATGGCTCTTGCCTAGGGGTAATAATATTGTGGTTTCATTGGCCTCGCCCGGGGGTAGCAATACCGTGGCTCAAGTATGTTACAAGTTCCCGGTACCGGAGGTTCCTTTATAGAACTGGTCAAGTATGACCTTTAATGATCTATTAGCGCTAATGGGTCTACCACGTATGATACTCTATGAAATTGAATAAGTACATGTTTCTAAACTCTGAATAAGAATATGAGTCCATTTCTACTTTCTGAATCTGATATGGGACATAATTCATTTAACCTTTTACTCTGTTATTATTCACTTGGCTTTCGCTCACTATTTATATTATGTATGTAGGTGAGCAGGTGCATGACCAGGCCTGAGCTACTGCTTGGAGAGTTTTGGGTCAGCCAACCATTGTGCCTCTCAGGGAGGTTCCCATTTGAAAAGTCAAGTTTTGTGAACCATGCCAAGAATGTTTTGTTATTTTGTTTTTGTTTATCTGTACGCTGGGCTAAGTCCCTTATGATACTACCTGTATAGTGACGCAAGACTTAAGGAAGTGTGACGTCACTTATGTATGTATATATTTCAGTTTTGAAATTTCTGTTCCATATATGTCTGCTCAGCTCTATGGACTATGTATGTTTCTATATTTGCTTCAGCAGCCCCTTATTACGTGTTAATCTGTTTAGAGGCCTTTGGTAATCCAAGGATTACTGGTTGGTTACGATGCTAAACCTATAGGGGCGGGTTTGGATTGTGACAGAATAGTTTCAGAGCACGTGTTCTACCGCACACACGAGTCCATATGAGCTATAGGATGTCCTAGAAAAGAACTAGGGGCATTCCATCTGCATGTGTGGGTGTGTGAACTATGAGAACATACTCAAACTAATATGAATTGATGTGAACACATATGAATTAATATGAAGCAAATTGATTTGGAATTGAACATAGAGAATAAGACTCTCATGCCTATGTTTATTATTGTCTTGTTTACCTATAGCAATGGAAAACACAAGAAGTAATGATGCAGGTGAATCTTCCGAAGCCTGAATGAGTCGAATGGAATAGATGTTTGCAGCTTTGATTAAAGCAATGATAAAGCAGCAAAGACAACAACCTTTGCCTCATCCACCTCCTTCGATCCAAGTTGAATCGGATAACAATAATATTACAAATCTAACTCAGAAGTTCATGAAGATGAAACTACTGACTTTCTTGGGTGGTATTGAACCCTTAAAGGCAGAAACATGGTTGCTTGAAATGGAGAAACTGTTTGAAGTATTTCCTTGCTCCGAGACACAAAAAGTTCTACCCGAAGATGGTGGTTGTTAATCCGAAAAAACAATGGGAACATGACATGGACTCAATTCAATGAGATCTTTTATGACAAGTACTTTCCTCAGTACTTCCAGGATAGAAAGGTTTTTGAATTCCAAGAACTGAAGCAAGGCAAGATGTCTGTAACTGAATATGAGGCTAAGTTTACTGAGTTAGCCATATTTGTTCCTCACATGGTTGATACTGATTATAAAATGGCTCGAAAATTCAAAGGGGGATTGGATCTAGACGTGTTTGATAGAGTAGTTGTTTTGAAGTTGCCTACATACGTGGAGGTACTTGATAGAGCACTAATGGTAGAAGCCACCCTGGCAACAATGAAACAAGCCAAAGCACCAACAACAAAATTGAGAAACAAAAGACCTGGATCCAATTTTTCGAAGGGTTGTTCATCTTTTACAAACAAAAAGCAAAATACTGGATCGTCAAGTAGTTCAAGTCAAAGTAGTGGATCTATGCCAGTCTGTTCTGAGTGTGGAAGGAGACATAAAAGAACGTGTTACCGTGCCTCGAGTGCTTGTTTTTGGTGTGGCAAGACTGGCCACATGATTAGAGATTGTTCGATGAGATCCGATGATGCTAACCATCCTACGACAAGTTTAGCTGGATCCACTCCTACACCAAGAACAAATGTGAAAACCAATACCGGGAGAGAAACTTTGAGGCAAGGCCGAATTTTTACATCAGTACCTGGTGATGTACAGAACACCGAGTCAGTGGTGTCAGGTATGATCTCTATTTGTGCTCAACGTGCCTATGTGTTGATAGATTCTGGTTCTACGCATTCTTTTGTGTCGCATACTTTTTCTCGAAAATTAATTCGACCCTTAGAACCATTAAATTATCTACTATCTGTATCTACACCAGCTGGAGGCTCTATGTTATGTGCTTATGTGTACCATGCGTGTGACATTATGGTTGGGGACATGTTACTATATGTTGATTTGTTACCGTTGGAAATTACTCATTTTGATTGTATTCTGGGTATGGATTGGTTGACGAAATATTATGCCACCATTGATTGTGTGAATAAATCTGTCGTGTTTTGACTACCCGGTATGCCTAAGTTTATCATTATTGGGAATGAGGTAGTTCTTCTACCGTACTTGATTTCATTTATGAAAGCCAAGAAGTTGTTAAGAAAAGATTGTCGGGGCTACTTGTGTTATGTATTGACTGTATCTTTGGATAGTGCTAATGTGGAAACTATTCTCGTAGTCCGTGAATTTCCTGATGTATTTCCTAATGACCTACCTGGGGAGTTAATTGATAGGGAAATTGAATTCACCATTGATGTGGTATTTGGAACACAACCAATTTCTAAGACCCTTTACAGAATGTCAATCTCTGAACTAAAAGAATTGAAAGTTCAACTCCAAGAATTGCTAGACAAGAAGTTCATCCGACTAAGTACTTCACCTTGGGGTGCTCCAGTTTGTTTGTTAAGAAGAAAGATGGGTCCCTAAGGTTATGTGTAGATTACCAAGAGTTGAATAGGGTAACTATCAAGAATAAATATCCATTGCCCCGAATAGATAATTTGTTTGACCAATTCCGGGAGCCAAGTATTTTCCAAAATTGACCTTAGATCAGGCTATCATCAATTGAAGGTTAAGGCATAAGACATTGAGAAAATCGTTTTCCGGACTAGATACGGACACTATGAATTTTTAGTAATGCCATTTGGGGTAACGAATGCACCTGCGACCTTTATGGACCTAATGAACAGGGTTTTCAAACAATTTCTCGATGAATTTATAGTTGTATTTATTGATGACATCTTGATTTATTCTAAAGGCAGGGAAGAACATGAAAATCTTCTAAGAACTGGTTTACAGATTTTGAGAGAAAAGAAGTTGTATGCAAAATTGTCCGAATGTGAATTCTGGCTTGATAGCGTAGCATTTCTGGGACAAGTGATTGACAAGGACGGTATATCAGTGGACCCATAGAAAATTGAAGCCGTTGTAAATTGGCCAGGACCAACCAATGTGTCTGAAGTTAGAAGTTTTCTGAGGCTTGCAGATTATTATCGCAGATTTGTGAAAGATTTCTCTAAGCTTGCTTTGCCACTCACTCAACTGACATAGAAAACTACACCATTTGACTGGAATGACCAAAGAGAATCTGCTTTCCAAGAGTTAAAGACCAGATTAGTAACTACGCCAATTTTTACTTTGCCTAAAGGTACTGATGGGTTTCCAAATTTATAGTGACGCTTCATACAAAGGTTTGGGATGTGTTAATGCAAAATGGAAAAGCGATTGCTTATGCTTCTCGACAACTTTTCCCTCATGAAAAGAATTACCCGACTAATGACCTTGAATTAGCAGCTGTGATTTTTGCATTAAAGATTAGGCGCCATTATCTGTATGGAGTGACTTGTGAGGTATACACTGATCATAAAAGCTTGAAATATTTCTTCACCCAAAAGGACCTGAACATGAGACAAAGGCGATGACTTAAACTAATCAAGGATTATGATTTGCAGATCTTGTACCATCTAGGGAAAGCCAATACCGTTACAGATGCTTTGAGCCAAAAATCCATTGGCAATTTGTCATGTTTGCTCACCGGGTAGAAAGAGTTGTTATGTAACTTGGAGAAGAATGAAATTAAAATTGTACTGCATGAACAAGGTGGGATCTTAGCCACCATTTCCCCTTAACCTACAATCATTGAAGAGATTAAAGAGAAACAACTTGAAGATGAGTTCTTGAAAAAACTTTATGATGAGGTTAATTCAAAACCAAAACTCGGATTTGTGCTTGATAATAATGTGTTGAAATTTCAGAATAGACTTTGTGTACCGGGTTGTTCTAACTTGAGGAAATGTATTATGACTGAGGCTCACTATTCGAAATTTGCTATACATCTGGGTGATACGAAAATGTACAAGGATCTAAAACAGAATTTCTAGTGGCCTGGCATGAAGAAAAGCATTGTTGATTTTGTAGCTAGATGTTTGCATTGCCAACAAGTCAAAGTTGAACATCAACGACCCGTTGGACTACTTTCGCCGTTTCCAATACCGGAATGGAAATGACATCATATTACCATGGACTTCTTTGTGGGATTGCCTTATTCTTCCCGAGGTATGGATTCTATTTGGGTCATTGTTGATCGTTTAACTAAATCTGCCTACTTTTTTCCTATCAAATCTTTTTATAACGCAGATAAGTTAGCTAACTTGTATGTCAATGAGATTGTGAGATTACATGGTGTACCAATATCTATTGTATCTAATAGAGATCCCAAGTTTACTTCAAGATTCTGGCAGAGTTTACAACAGGCTTTGAGGACCAAACTGAGACTAAGCAATGCTTATCATCCACAGAAAGACGGCCAATCAGAAAGAACAATATAAACTTTGGAGGATATGCTCAGAATGTGTGCCCTAGATTTCCAAGGCAATTGGGAGACCTATTTACCATTGGCTAAGTTTATGTATAACAACAGCTACCATTCGAGTATCGGTATGGCTCCTTATGAAACTTTATATGATAGGAAATGTCGTTCTCCGATCTGTTGGGCCGAGGTAGGTGACATGTCACGCCCCAAACTCGGCCCTAAAAGTTTGGGCATGACCTATTCAGAACTGGACACTTAACCTGATATACAAAATATATGGGGCTTGAACGGAAGCATTTAACAACATAAAGTAATATAAATAAAAGAACTACATCCATTGAGCAACCACTATCATGCTAGGATCACAAACAGAACATAAGGCGGATAAACATACAGTGACGTGCATCAGAGAATTTAGCTATGTACATATATATATATACAAACCCAGCCCTCAAGATTGGGCATATAACAAAACATTGAAAGGTAAAGGGATTATATACACTTCAACCTTAAACAGATAATCAGGGTACAAAACCAAAAGCTTAGAAAAACCCCATAAAATGAGCTGCCTTCATATAAGTGCCTGGACCCTCTGAGGTTGACAAAAGAGGAATGAATGCCATGGGTTAAGACTGACCTCCAAGTGGAGTGCCTACAGAAACAAACATAACATAAAGTGAGCTAAGCTCAGTGAATAGTAGTACATAACAATTTAACATTTAACTTGAATTACAATGTACATGTATAAGGGCAGAGGACATATAGTTAACTTTATCCTGTAATTATTTTCAGAATGGCCTTAGGCCTAAACTCAAACAGAATTGAACAGAGTGGCATTAAGCCCTTAAACAGAATGGCAATCAGCCCTTAAACAGATCGACATTAAGCCCTTTTTATGCGTGTATGAACTCAAGAGGTGGCTCGCACGGATTCTAGAGGTGACTCGCATGGCAGCACTTAGTTCCGTGCAACACTTTGTTTCATACTAACAGATCATACAGAATGGCCATAGGCCCAGATGTCACAGATTGGCCATAGGCCTCACATATGTCACAGAACGGCCATACGCCTTGTAACTTTCACAGAACGGCCATAGGCCTCAGTTCATATATGTATGGACTCAAGAGGTGGCTCGTACGGATTTTAGAGGTGGCTCGCATTGCAGCACTTAGTTCCGTACAGCACTTTATTCCATACCAGAAATCATTAGGTCTTAAAGACCGAACCATCCATATCATGTCATTACAGTACGCTTAACAAGGACAAAACAATTTACATTCTAACGTGGTTTACATAATGATGTTAAACCTTTGCATTCATGTCGTAGATTCTAAACGACCTCAGGTCCATACGTAACACAACAGAATAATCTTGGATTCATACAGATACCATTGTTCAAGGATGAACATAAGTTCCAGTTATTCTTTAAGAAGTAACGTAGTATGCTGATAAATAACAGAGGGTTAATATTTGTTATTGACAGAACAAAAGGATTCCAAAGTCATACCGATGTGCGCAAATCTTCCAATGTTCATATAAGTTCACATTGATTTCCAATCGTCATAAATTTTGTGTAACTCATACGAAGAACAGAGTGTTAGTGACAATAATTATCAACGGTAAATAAAATATACATTTCTGTACTGCTACTCACAGTGCTATAACGGAGCGCTTTGCCCCTCCCAGGTTATGACCTACACACATGCACAACTTATACATTCGTTCCTTTTCCTTCTTAATTCATTTCCTGCTTTATCTTACTTCGACCGAATTTACAGGCATTTTAAGGACATCAAACACAGATTTCAAAAATACCAGGGGGTTAAGCACGCAAAACGAAGTGAACAAAATTTTGCAACATGGGCCGGGCTGTGAGCCCTGCACGTGCGGCAAGGCTTCTCGCACGTGCAGCCATGACCCCCGCATGTGCGGCAATTCTGCACAGATTGCAGTTCGAAAATCCAGCAAAACTCAATTTTTGGTACACTTTTCCAAGGCTCAAAATAGGTTCTTTAATTGATGAAACATGGTTCAAAAATCATGTACAAAGATATCTCAAACATCCAACAATCTCAAGATGAATTGATTCCTCAATTCCATGCAATTCATAAATATAAATTAAACACTCTAAATCCCTACCATATAGTTCCCAAACATATATAGAATCATCCAAATCCCTAAATGAGTGCAAATATGTAAAGATAATATAGCTTAGCTTAACCCCAAATCAATTCAATGATAACATATCTTTTTAATTTAACCCATACACACCTTAATTCACATGATTATCAAAGAAAATCTCACTCAACTTCAAGAGAGGACTTAATTCAAGCCAAAAATACATACCTTACACTTTAACCCTACCATCCTTCTCTATTTCCCAATCTTTCTTCTTGATGAGCTTAACCTCTTCCTCTCAAAACTCTCTTCTCCTCTCATTCCTCTCTTAGGAAAATATCTTGAGTAATGGCTTTTTAAGTCAAAATAAGTCAAATATACAAAGAACATAGATATATTGCTAAAGGTGAGTAAAGAAAAAACTTAATCAGTTTAATCATTCCAAATTGAATTTCACAGAAAAATTATGCTGATCTCAAATATAAGATTAATTCCGGATTATTGATCTCCTAAGGCTTTCAATTCCTGATCCAAACATTTTAATTGTGATAGATATGTTTCCTTATTAAATAGATATGGATCTATAATCATAGGGTTCACTTAATTAAACTTAATTTCTTATGAAATTTCACAATAAGCATTTAAATGCGCAGAATAAAGGGACTGAAAGTATATCAGAAAACATGCACGAGGGTCGGGTTATTACATGACATACCTTTGTTGGGACCCGAACTTGTGCAAGAAACGACTGAAAATGTGAAATTGATTCAACAAAGATTGAAAACTGCACAAAGCCGCCAAAAGAGTTATGTGGATGTCCGAAGAAGAGGTCGATAATATGAAGTCGGGGATCATGTGTTCATCAAAGTGACTTCTATGAAAGGGCAAACGCGGTTTGGAGTGAAAGGAAAATTGGCACCGAGATATGTTGTGCCATATGAAATCCTTAAGAAGATCAATCCGGTGATGTATCGGGTAGCCTTTTGTAGACACCCCATTTTTGACCGACCTTAAGACTCAGATGTCACCGATTAAGTGCTTGGTGATGTTGCATATTGTGCTCGTTCTGAGGTTGCGGAGTCTCGGCTGCGAGCCTTGCCTCCAGACTTCGGGGCTCTTTTGTGTTTTGTCTCGGTTTGCGAACCAGGTCCTGTTTTCTTTGTTTTCACTTCCCGAAGGAAGGGAGAGGCCTCGTAGATCATCTCTCAGTGGCCGTAGGATACGTTTCGTGGTCGTAGGCCATTTTTCCCGTTTGGAGTCCGGTTTCTGATTTTTCGGAGCCGTCAGCCGTGTGCCTCAGTTCGGGACTGCTTAACCACCTCCGTTTGCTCCGGTTTTTTGCATACACCTTATTTCCTCCCTTTTAAGGGACACTGTGGTCTGAAAGACCAACTTCGTGGTCGAACGCCACTTCCGGTGCCTAACAGCCTATTTTCAGGGCCCCGAAATGCGTGTTTCGGCCCCCGAACCTTCGTTTTGCATCCGTCTTGGTTCATTTTTGGTGGAGACCTTATTTTCATTGTTAGAAAGCTTGTAGGAGGGTGGGAGGCCAGCAATTTTTCTGAAAAGCCAGTTTTATTTCTTCATCGCTCTCCGTCGCCCGTTTTTCTCACTAGAAAGCTAATGTTGACCACCCCGGGGCCACTTTCTTTAGCCCTAAACCCCATATTTGTGTTGTACACACCTGGGAGGCCACCAATATGAATAGGCCGGCCAGTAATTGTCTCTGACCCTTTTGAACCCCTCTAAAAAGTTGGCTTTTCTCTCTCCTGGTTCACATTTTCTGGGTTTTGACCACATATTTGTGTTGTGCACACATGGAAGGCCACCTTTTTGGGGTGGCTAGCCAGCAATTTTGATTGACCCTTTTGACCCCTGGCCGGCCGGCCAGGGGGGGTGGCCGGTCGGCCACCTGAACCTTTTGAACCTGGCCGGCCATGATCCTCTCTCCAAGTGTATTCCAGCTGTGCAATTTGTTTTCCTCTAGGTTTTGTATCCGGGGGGCTGCCTTTTGGGAGAGAAATTTGAATTTATTTTTCCCCCCCTTTCCTTGGCCTCTCTCCCTCTATAAAACCAGCACCCCAGCTCCATTTTGAAGGGTTACAAAAATTGTTTAGGGCCATTGCATACAATCCTCCCTCTCCCTCTCTTCCAAGCCTCAAAACACCCTTAGTTCTTGGCCATTTACATACCAACCCATAGCACAAGGCCTCCATCCTGCATTCCAGCATTTTGGGACTGTTTTAAAGAGGTTGAGAGCTCAAAAATTTGGTCCAAGAGCTGCTGAAGTTTGGTCTTCAAGGGTAAGTCTTCTTCTCCTCTTTTCTTGCCTTATTTTGCTCTATATCTAAGCCATATTTGCTAGCATTTTTGGGCTCCGACCCAAACTGGAAATGATCTTATTTTGAGCTTATCTTCATTTTTGATCAAGGGTTTTTCTCTGTTTGAAGCCACCTGCTACCCCTTTCCCTTTATCCCTCTTTTATGGCTATTTCTTGCATGATATGTTATCCCTGTTTGTAAGCATTTATGGGCTTCGATCCAAACTGTAAAGTACTTCATTTTAAGCCCCTCTTCAACTTTGTTCAAGGGCTCTTCACTGTTTGAGGCCAGCTACTGCCTCTTGCTTTCTCTCTCTCTTTTAGGGCCTTTTTTTACATCATATTGTGGCCCTACTTGTGAGCTGTTTTGGACTTGGTCATAAACTGTAAAGTGCTTCATTTTGAGCCTCTCTTCAACTTTGTTGAAGGTCTCTTCACTGTTTGGGGCCAGCTACTATCCCTTGTCTCTATTCTCTCTTTTAGGGCCATTTTTGCATGATAGATTAGCCCTATTTATGTTCATTTTTGAGACTTATTATAAACTGGAAAAAGGCTTGTTTTGATATCATCTTCATGT